TCTCTTACTTAGTAAGTTATTAGTTAATTAATTAAATAAATAATATATATATATATATATATATATATATATATATATATATATATCTTCCCCAAGGCTTTCATCTATATAATGTAGCTAACCAAGCCTCAAATTTTAATCGTAGTTTGGTTGCAAGTACAGCGTGGAAAACGTAAACCAGCCATCCACCAATAAGAAATTTTTTTTACAGTGAAAATGATTTCTAAAAAACATTTTCACACGAATCTGCCGAAGTCTGAATCTACACCGTGGATTGATAAGTACAAATGGTGGTGTAACTAATTTGTGTATCCCATATACTAGCAACGAGTGTGATTGCAGGGTGCCTGCATTAGTTCCAAGTTTAATTACTGGGCTCATGTAGTTCCAAGTTTAATTACTTGAAGCACGAAATTAGAACGAACAAAAAATAAAGACTAAGCACAGTAGCTCAAGAGAACCTGGCTGCCTGCATTACTAAAAAATAAAAATCTTATAATTTGCATATCCCAAGTGAGAGAAAATACCAAGTCTCAAACCAACCCATCAATTGTTGTTACTCTTGTTTAGACAACATAAAGTATATTATCGACAAAAAAATACCCACTAAACTTAACCTATTCATTGATAAAACCTGTTCTGGACTTTACAGTTCAACTATATTGCAAACTTGTTTTTTCTGAAGCTGTTACTGTAACTATATTGCAAACATGAGTATACAAGAACTCATTATGGTAGGATGTGGCATATCCAAGCAGCTCTTAGACGAATTGCTTCAGGAATTCAGTTGCCACAAGTCGTCCCCTTGTGTTCACTGATAGCTTCAGCTCACTTATCTCCTTATCTATGTCCTGCATAGAAATATTACGCATGTCAAAGAGAGAGACCACCCCACTAAAACAAGGCAAGCATTTGCATGTCATAAATTGGAAAACTGGCTTATAAATTTGATTAAGAACTTGCAACAATTTAGGAAACTCCAAAAAAAGTAAAAATTGAAAGTCACAAACTCACAGCATGTAATAAGAAAAATTCACAAATCATCATAAATAACAGAAAAATTACAAAAACATGTTTGATTATTTCTACATCATCTATTACTGATATGGTAACGAAATTCTTGATTCTTTAAGTGAACTTAACAAACCCAAGTTTGCCTAAAAATCTTGATTGGGATAGGTGCCGAGGCCGAAAACTTACTTGGGTCAGTCCAAGTAGACTCTGCTGAGTTTCGAAACACCGTTACAGAAAGATCAGTTAACGGGTGAAAGTCAGGGATTGTGTGGCCGGAAAAAGAGGATAACTACAAAACTTGCCCACAGAGGCCGATGTCAAAAGAAAAGACTCAATGACAACCATAGTGATTCTACTTCTTTAGAGATTAAAAACATAGACAACGAACAACCTCAAGGGCTTGAAGCTGTTCCTGTAGTTGATAAGGACTTGAAGAAAGTACCATGGCCAACCCCAATGGCCTGACTCTCATGAAGAAACCCTCCCTGTACTGCTTCTGAGAGTACGGTTCAAGCTGCTCCAGCATTGCTCAAAACCAAGGGACAAACATTCAAAAGTATGGCCATTCTGACCACAAGTACTCTAGGTTTGGGTTTGCACTTCCATAAAGTTAGATTTACCCTAGAGTCATTTTTCCCAAAGTATCATATGTACTTAATGTCACTGAGTTTGTCATGATCAATACTGGTAATAACCATTTGCATACAAGTGGGCAAGAGGTATCATACACGTTTACATGTCATGTTGGTTAAAACGCTTGGAGGGCAACACTTTTATTAGTTGGAACCCTATTACTCTCTTGTACAGGAAAGGAAAAGTGCACAATATCTATCAAGTTAAGTGTAATTGTGAGGATAAGATCCATAAGCACTGCATCAAGACCGATTTTTTGGAGAAGTACATTAGTTATGATATGAACTCAATTCCTTGAATCTTAAACTGTAAATAGCAGTTTTATACAAACAGCACCTGCAATGATTGAACATGAAAAACTAGATTGACATGTTAAGAGGATCTGTAATCATGACTTGTCTTATTATTCACATCTCAGCAAACTTCAGTTTAAAGAACTTCTCATTAAACAGGAACCAAAAGTACTCATTTGTTCCAGAGCACAATGTCACTCATAGGTCTCTGAGACCAATTAGTTGAGTGTTACATGGTAATGCTAATGGTATATTATTGTATTCTATGGCATAACTAAGGGCCAGTTTGGATGTACCCTAAATTGGAATATTTTTGGATTGCAATCCAAAAATCTTCTGAAACTTACTTTGACCGTTTGGACAACCGTATACTTTTGCCATATTTTTAGATTGAGAGAAAATAAAATCTCATATCAAGGCAAAAATTGCCATCCAAAAAAATTCAACTTAGACTTTAATTTTTTTAGGCTTGAGTCGCGTTTCTCGTGCCACTCTCTCTAACCCTCACGCTCTGGCTTGAGTCACGTTTCTCACGCCTCTCTCTCTCTAACCCTCACGCTTTTCCCTCTCCTCACTCCTCGCCTCCTTCTGCTCTCTCTCATGCGTGAGAAGAAAAGCATTTGCAGGAGAGGCACACGGAGAGGGGAGAGACACCGAGTCGTACGTGGCTAGAGAGAGGAGGAAGAAACCCTACAAGAGCTTCTTCGTACCCCTCTATATTTTTTCACTCTCTCTCTCTCTCTCTCTCTTACATGGACACAGAGCATCTACAGTAAGGGCTCCTTCGTGTGACTCTGTTTCTGCATCCTGCACTCAATAAGTGTTATTGAACTCTGAGACTTGTCATGAACAAAGCTTGTTTTTGCTTCGTTTATGTATTGAAAAGGGCGATAAATCGTGATATTTCTTGTAGATCTTTGCTTTGGCCGTGCCTTTTGCCTGGAAATTAGGGGGAGTATTTAATGGAGAAAGCTTAGGTAGGAGCTTCGAAGACTGATTTTCCCTTTTTTTTCTGGTTTCTTCTCTGTTTATGCTTTGTTTTTGACTGAGTTACTGAGAATGATATTTGGATTGAAGGAATTGGAAGGAAACATGAGTTTATTTGCTTTATGTGTTACATTTTAGCACTTCATCTTATTTTCAGCAATCGATCTTCGAGTTATTTGATGGAAATAAAGTGGAAATTAGGGCTTAACTGAACAAAAGAACAGTGGCCAAGTGGATCAAGGTAGTGCATTGTGAATCCACCATGCGCGGGTTCAATCCCCATCGTTCACCAGACTTGTTCTATTAACGACGCCGAAGAATGAAACTATCACTATATTTCTTCTTTATCCTACTTCTTCCAAGCACAGGATAACCCCAAGGGGTTGTGGGTTTTTTTCTACCAATTGGGGCCCTCCCTTCACCACCCCCATGGGGATGGTCTACAGGGTTCATAACTACTACCCTTACTACAGGATGCATACTTCGCCAACATTTAGATCCAGCAGCTTTTATTTGATGCCTTTAGGTGTCGCAGATTTAGATTCTTGAAGGGTTTTGATGAATATTAAGTGGAAATTTTGGATTACACTAGAAAGAGATGAAGAGGACATTGCATTTATTTTCTTTTTTTGAGTTTTTGAGTGCTTCTCCTTGCTTTGCTATTGCAGGTTTGAGGCAATTGTGGTGGAAAAGCTAGAAAGAGCATTGATAGTGACAGGAAGGCATAGGGTGTTTGCTTCTTACAGTTTGTACACCTCTTCTCTGATGTTATGGTGTTGGATTGTTGGGAGCTTTTTATCTGGTCTTTGAGTTTTCTTAAGTTTGACAGAAGTATAATACATGATAAGGAGAATAATTATTGAAAAGGGCACAGAGGACAAACTTACCTGCCATGTTTATGTATGCTAATATTAGCAAAGAAAGGAGCTAGGGCGTTTATCTGTAGGACTTGAAGTGTTTGAAATTGTTTTACGAAGGTGAAGAACCATACAAAAGAGGTTCAGCAAGCAAATAAGAGCAAGGACACTCGATTTTGGGTCCCTTTTGTTTGTTATTGTGGAGCAAATAAGAAAAACACGAATTTAGAATTTATTGCAATGCATCCAAACAGACATATCTGGCAAATAAAATTTTCTTATCATATTTTAATAGACATCCAAACAGTCTACCAACACAATAAAATAAAACGATAATGTTTCTCAATTGAGGAGGAAAAAAATTGCATATTTTTAATGTGAATATTTTTTTCTTTGACATCCAAACTGAGCCTAAGGGTGATTTTGCCATTTTCATGAAATATTAGGAATGCCTAAGATATGAGGGTCATACTGATCAATACTTGTTAACATATTCATAAGTTATACTGATCAATACTTGTCAATACATCCATAAGCACACACTCTGTTAACAAAATGGGCTTCGATGGGATAATTAGAGTAACAATCAATGTTGTTATTGAGAACAAGCCCTAGGGCTACTATGGTGACTGGACCTTAGAGGTTGACCTTGGCTAGCCGGGTTTAGATGCCCCTGACCTAAGCTAGGTGGTCTATTCCTAGTAGGTGATGAACTAAAGCTGGGGCCGCTCCTTTGTACATTGTTAGGCCGAACGAGAGAGTGAAAGCCCATGACTGTACTGGATGGTATAAGCCCTCAAGGCAAGTCTTGACTTGAATGCTGATGATTAGAGCCGGAACCTTGACCATGTGCTCTACTCCTATTGGGTGGTTTTTGGTTTGGGTGACTAGCTGGTGTTTGACCACTAGGATTAACCTAGTTCGAGGCGGATAGATAGGAGTGACTAAGGGTTTGTCCTCCTGGGCCTTGACCATGCCAAATGTTGATGATAATCCCTGACTAGCTAGGTCTTGCAGGAACGGCTGCACCTTAGGGTTTGCTTAGAGTTGACTCAGATTAGGATCCTAACTCCTACTAGTGTTAGGTTGGGAAAGCAGGCTGCCCTTAGCAGTGCCATTATGACTAGAGACATGGCTGGGTGTCCTAGATCTATGTGAGCACTAACTCACTTGACCCCTGATCAGTTTGTTATCAAAGCTAAAATGATGGGATGGTAACTGGCTACCGGGGTTAACCCAACTCAAGTCGGCTAACCAAGGGTTTCAAGGGTTTGGACATTTGACCTGCCATGGACATTTCATTGAACTTAAGGCTAATACCCATGTCTTGGAGAATTGCCCCTATTCTGATCCCTTGACTATTCAAGGTGTCACAAGTCCTCCTGACCTACAAGTCCATGATTCCTAAAAGACGGGCATGAAGACTACCAATTTGGAGACCTAAACTATTAACTATGGCTGCATGTAGGTTGAGACTAAATTCACCCACATGGGTATTATGGGTTCGAGGGACATCTATACGATGCCTCTTGGACTGGTGACTCAATGTCCTAGACTTAGGCCGAGATGAGTGTTGTATGTCATTTTTGACGTACTTACATCCCTGGAGCAAATAAAGAGAGAGCCAGTGACGACCTGGTCCTGTTGGTAACCAAGACATCGTCAGACTAAGGGAGCATTGTACAATAAGCCTAACACTAAGGCAACCTTGGGAAAAGTACTATCATGCCAAAAATGAGACCTTACAACTACAACCCTCTGCTAGGGGCTTCAAAACAATACCAGACCACCGCCATTGCATCCAGAATGCCGAAAACCCATAAGGACCAAATTTAGGCTCAATCAGACCTACCAGGATCATTCTGGGCTCAAATTACCCTAAACGGGTAGGTCATACACTATTGCAGTGTGGCCTCACTAAACCAATTCCCATTCATGGAGGCTGCGTTCTCCACATCTCGAGATCGTTTCGTAAAACACCCACAGATCGCTCGATTGAAATCAAAACAAGCTCAAATTCTGACACAAGCTAGGTCTCGACAACCCTGTCAGTTTGACATATGGTACGCGTCGTGATGTGACCTAGAGCCCAAGTTTTTCGAGAAAGAAGACAAGCCCGAAGCCATAGAAATCAGAGTTTTTAAAGAAAATACATCTCGAACTTCATGAAACATAACTCGAGATCTGCACATCGGATCATCACAAAGACAAGTCCGATGAGAGCCTATCACGAAGGGTTACAAGCTGGTATAACTTTTACACTCAATCTAAGGTCGGATAAATAGCAGATTCCAAGGTTGAAGAAAGGAAGACCGCCCAGTAGCCGGAATCCCTTTTTCCAGTGATCTCTCGAAATCGAAAAGTACTTCAAACAAGGATCAAACCGGACAAAAATTAGTGCAAACGACTGCAGAAGTGTCCTTTGTTTTTGCAATAAAAATAACGACTTGGAATACAATGGATCGCACTACACTGACGACCAAAGTTCATAATCTAACCGGATTACCTCTCGAGAAAAAGCCCGCCTCAAGATGATCAAAAGACATCAAACTCTTCATAATCAAGCAAACATCAAGAGTACGAGGATGGATCGTCTAAATCACTGCCACAATCGTCCGGAAAAGATTCCAAGATCTAGCAATGGCAAGAGGCCCCTCAAAGAGGGATAGTCTTGTCATTAGCACAAAAGGTTTTTAGGGGTTTTTTGGTCGTTGTTATTTAATTCAGGAATTTATTATAATTTTTTTTAATTGTAATTAGGCTTAGTTTTGAGCATCCACCCCTATTTTGTGAATCCTCTATAAATACAAGCTTAGGGGCCAGATCAATCATCAACAAAATAGAAGCATTAAGCTTGTTTTCACTTGTCTTTTGCTTCTAACCCTAGATCTCATGCCGAGGAGAGAGAAAACTTTTCAAAGAGAGAAATGCCCCTAGCCCATCCTAATCACACAACCCCATTCTCTCTCTTCTTTTCTTCTTCTCTCTCTTCACTCTTGCTTGCTCAGCGCAATGACCCGTGCCCGCGGTCAACACACGGCCACATCTCTTTACCCCTTGCGTCTCGAGTGTAAACGCAGTAGACCTGCAGTCCGCATAGCATCCCGTTATCCGAATTTGGACTAATTTTGGGGGTCGCAATCTAAAGCTTTTTTAAGGTTTTTGTGATGTTCCAAACATACTTAGACAGATTCATATATGATTTCATACTTTACTTAAATTTAGGAAACCTAGAGATTATGGACTACGGATTATGGTGCACTAGGGTTTACTGGACTAGTATGATCCTTCGGGTTCAAGGCTATAGGTTTTCTAGGATTTGGGGTTTAGGAATTAAGGAAATCAGCCAATTTCAAATTAGGTGTGTACAACTATTACTAAGTTACTAACATAATCCCAAGAAAAAACCAAATAAAGTGCTTAAAATTAAAAAATAAAAGAAGATAACTTAAAATTTACCTTTGTGGTGGTTCAACCTCCAGCCAACTATCCAGTTGCTCTTCAATGCATTCAAGAACCCACCACTCTTTCTCAACAAGCCATCCGTCAGTCAATTGGGTCCAAGAATATGAGCCTTTGCATGGTCCTACATTTCATAATATTTCATATAATTTAAAGTCTAAAACACAAGTATTACTTTACACTTGTTGAATACAAAATGGAAACATAAATAAGATCCCATTACCTCTGCCACAACCTCAAGTTCTATCACAAAGACCAAGTCATTGAACCTCTTGTGCTCCAACCTATTTCACTCATCCATGTGGATGCATGGGAAATGCCCCAATTCCTTTCACAGCCATTAGCATTGCAAGTTTGGTTTAGGATACGAACACCAAATATCTGAATCTTGGGAGCTTCCCCACCAAATTGTTCCCAACAAACTGCTGAAAATGGAAATTGAATAATAGAGATAATGAAATTTGCAACATGAGACAGTACAATTTGCATTAGGCTTTAAGAGGAAAAATAATAAATTAATAAAACATTTCACTAGAAGGATTTCACCATGTAAGTCGACTGCCATCAATAGGCCAAATTCTCCTAATACCTTCTCATACAAGCACATATCCTTCTCAATCCTGACTTGTCAGGGTATGACTTCTCTATCATGGTATTCACCCCCAAAATCTCAACATAGGTTGAAAATTTCGCTTTCTTGTAGAAGAATTTTGGATTGAGCCAATAATCAGCTGCATTTGTAAGGCAATTCAGCTGCATATCCCTTTCTCATCTATAGTATCCCAATAGGAACAATACTTCTCAAACTAGCTCCTCCTTACTTAAAAATTGCTACTATTTGCCTCGCTAGCCATGTCTACTAGCTCATAGATATACCACTCAACAAGCCTAGAATCGGTACTAACAATCCTCAATACATTCACCAAGGGCTCTATTACTCGAATTATGTTGGTAATTGAGATCCAAAATTGGCTATTCAGAATCAAGTCTTCCATTTCCCTCCATTATGCTTCTTTGCCCATGCAGCATTCCGCCAAGCATTCAATATAACCATGGCTCCCAGGCCATCCTTCTGCTTCAGAACTGTATTGTGAGGAAATTAGTAGCAAAGTTTGTTATCGTCGGCCACACTAACTCCCTCCTATTTGTATGCTTTCTCATAAGATTGATTATAAAGGGATAGTAGTAGGTAGATTTTTTTAATTTCTTTTGCCTTATCTACAACCAATTCAACATGGGACATCTTCCCTATATCCTCAAGCATCAAACCAACAAAATGTGCTGCACAAGAGTTTCCAAAATATAGTGGAATATTCCCTTTGCAGCAACTGTCCCCCAAGGGAATAACCGATTGCATTCAGTAAAAAACTGGATCATATTATATCGACATACTTCCCCAACAATCTCTTTAAACAAACCAAATAATGCCTCCCCGGTCCCAATAATCTCATAGGCATCGACAAACCTCAAGAAAACTCTCCTCTTATGAAAGTACACCAAAAATCAATCAAAGGTCTATCTCTAACATCTTTCCAACCATCAGCCATAACGAAGCACCCAGGGCTAGCCCACATATAGGGCCATAACAAAGCACCCAAGGCTAGCCCACATATAGGGCCATAACGAAGCACCCAGGGCTAGCCCACATATCCCTATATGTCTCTATCTATTCCCTAACATCTTCCATATGATTCTATAACAACCGAATCCTGGCATCATAATGGTTAGGCCCTTTTACCTTGGACCTATTCAACATAGGTTGAAATAGAGGTTAGAGCATCAAAAGGGATAGCGTAGTGATACATCCTCTAGTGTACACACGCTTGTCCTTTCCACCACCTTCTCTCCAACCGACACACTTTTCATTATCCCTAGATGGAAATAATTCCCCCATCCCACCTTGTTTTCTAGGCCTACTAGTCACCAATGTTCAAGAAGGCGGATGCAGCCACTTGCCTAGCCAAGGGTCTGGGCCGCCTGGGCGGCCCTAAGGGAAGTGGGTTCGGGTGGAGGAAATATGTTGTTTTTTGTGTGTGTTTTGTGAATGCGTGTGTATGTATGTAGTTTGTGTATATGCATGTGCATGTATGCGTGTGCGTGAGATCTCACATGAAATTCTTAAGGAACAGCTTCTTTTTTTTCTTTTTTTTCTTTTGGATCAGTATTTGTGAGAGAGGTCTCGAACACTTGAAGGACATGGAGAAAGAGAGAGAGAGAGAGAGAGTCTATGAGAGAGAGGGACCTCACATCGAATACTTGGAGGTCATCCTCATCTTTTTCTTCTTCTTACACGTAAAGAGGGAGCATTTTAAGGGTCCATGCGTATATTTGTGTGCATATGTGTGTGTATCTGTGAGAGAGAGAGGCCGCACATCGAACACTTGGAATTCTTCTTCTTCTTCTTTTCATATATAGAGAGAGCATATGGACCCAAGAGAGACAGAGAGAGAGAGAGAGAGAGAGAGAGAGAGCGTGAGAGAGCGAAGGGCAATGCCAGGCCTCATTTTTGTTTGGGTGGATTTGAATTTCCTTTTTTTCTTTTTTTTTTAAGAAATGGCACTAGGTGGGTGCCCAAACACCTAGGCGCCCGCCTTAGGCATGCCCACCCAAACCCCACCGCCTAGGCTACACCTAGGCAGTTTCTCAGCCAGGCTGCGAAGGCGACCGAATTTTCGTTCCTCACTAAAGCACTAAAAGGTGTAGCATGCTCTTTCCCAAATATTTTGCTCTTAGACTAGTGCTCTTATTCTTCTTCTATATCAAAAATCCTTTATCATGGGAGTCGACCAAGGTTTTCCGATCTGATCAACAATTACCTGCCTTCATTGCCTCTAAGACTCATGATGTTCAACGCTTCTTTTCATCTTGTGCATTACGTGAGAGTGAACTATGAGGCATTGGCCACATTTTCAGCCTTGAAAGTCAAATGCTCCTTAACCCCATGTATGTGCCCTCCCTTCATTATTTTCCCACAATGTATGCATACATTTTCAAACTTGTCCCCCTTCAATACCCTAGACATGCTCCAATGCCGGGTTTGATTGTTCCTTTCTAGACACCCAAAGGCATTTTTTATTTCTAATTCAACCACTAAGAGCGAGTTTGGATGTACCCAAAATTGCAATATTTTTCAATGACAAGAAAAGAAGATTGAGATAGGCACTGGAACCATTTGGATAACCCCATCAGCATGTATTTCTCAACAAAATAGATTATGACACTAAGCCAAATGTGCCAAAAAACGTGAGGGGAAAAAATTTGAGTTTGACTCAAATTTTTTTGGCTCGCAACTTTTTTAGGTTCTCTCTTTGCGTTTTTCCCCCAGACTTTTGCTTCTCTTTTGGCCTTTCCGCTTTCCCCCCAAACTTTCGCTTCTCTCTTCGCCTTTCCACCATCTCACTGCTATTTCCTTCTCTCTTCCTCAACTACAGATCCTAACATCCTTTCCAGATCCCATCGAATATTTTTCTCTCTAAAAAAATGAACCTTTTTTTTCAATCTTTCTCTCTCTAGAAAGCCCCTAATTTCATTGAGCTCTCCCTAGCATCCTTTCCATCTTTCTCTCTAGAAAGCCCCTAATTTCATAGAGCTCTCCCTAGAATTTTTTCCATCTTTCTCTCTAGAAAGCCCTTAATTTCATAGAGCTCTCTTTAGCATTTTGTCGGGTTGCTGGATAGTGATTCCTTTTTAATTCAGGCTTTTGCTCGATATCTCTAAGAACCTTTATTCTCTATCTAAATTTAATGAAGTGGTTTTCTGAGTATACAAAGCGAGATGTTTTACAACTTCAAAATACTTGTAGACCAAACCTCTTTTGCCCAAACCTCAAAACATTTGCAGAGGAAACCTCTTTTTGCCATCCATTACTCTCTCTCTCTAATAATAATATTCAACTTCTCCCTGCTCCTCTCTCTAATAATATTGAACTGCAATAATATTCAACTTCTCCCTACTCCTCTCTCAAATAATAATATTGAACTTCTCCCTGCTCCTGCTTTCTTGGTTCTTCTCATTCTCTTTGTCTCCTATATTTGTAAGAATACACTGCAAATCTAGAGAGAAGAATCAATATAATTAAATTATTGAATTGTATAAATTAGGTTTGGGAGTTCTTAAGGATTTCTTGCAACGCATCCAAACAGACAAATCTGGCAAATAAAATTGTCTTCTTATATTTTAAGAGACATCCAAACAGTCTACCAACATAATAAAATAAAACGATAATGTTTCTCAATTGAGGATAAAAAAATTGCATTTTTTTTTTAATATGAATATTTTTTTCTCTGACATCCAAACTGGGCCTAAAGTACCAAATAAACCACCAATCCTACACTAAATCTCCGAAGTGTCATTGGCAGTTTCCGTCATTTGGATTAAAAATGGTGGTTTGGTGTAGGACTAGTGGTTTGGAAGAGGATGTAGAAGCACCAGAGGCTTAACAACTTGGTCTATGTGCGATACAACCAGATGTTGAAGCAAAAGAATATGCTCTTATTTCTTTTTTCATTGGGTATTCCATAACTGTAAAGTTCTACTTATGTTTAAAATTTTCAATAACATGAAATGCAGTGTTACATAGACACTGACATGGGAGGCATATTCAATGCACATATCGAGTATCTAGTAACATCAGCCCAAAATTCCAATACATGACCGACACTCGTACAATAACTGATAACATTATAATATGTCCTTGATAATTATATATTCTATCATAAGTTAATAATATAAGTTAATAACGTATTAAATACATAACACATTAAATACTTAATAATAATTTAAATATATTAGGGAGCATATGCATGCATGGGCATGCATTAAAAGGACCTTTCTTTTTAGTATCACGTTGTAAACTTATTTCATTTTTACTTGTGTTAATATATAATCAATGCAATAAATAATGCACGTGCATTAATGGCTTTGGACTTTCCTTGATAGCTTAGGACTTTACTCTCTACAAGTATTATATATTCCACAATAAAGACCACTTTATGGCATGGTGGTTAATACCATTGGCATTGCTTCAAATGGACATGGGTTCAATCCCTACAAAGTGCTTCATATGATATAACAAATGAGGGACACCGCGTGTCTTAATGGTAGACACGTCCTAAATGCGCGTCAATATGTAGTGTCTATATAAAAAAAATTTCAGACACGTTCGGCCAGCACACCTATGTCTAGGCGAGTTGACACGCAACACGAAGAAACAGGAAACGGTTATATAATGCTGATGAAATATAATGAAATTGCCATAAAAAAAACAAATGTAATGAAATGTAGGACTGCTAGTGAACTTCCCTTCAAAACAAAAAAAAAATGTGGAACCATTTAAAGACCCTTATGCTAGGCCTAATTGACTTAGAGGAGATCAATGTTTAGAAGAATGGGTCCTCGAGAAAAAGAGGCCGGTTCCTAAAGGCTTTGAAGAGTAACTAGATAAATGTGAGTTTTCACTTTAAGCACTTTATTTAGATTATGCTAATATCTTTCATAATAGTACCACCATTCCTTGGCTTATTTTATGTGATTTGTCTGTAAATAATACATTCATAATTTTATAACTAAGTAATACACAAATTTTCTCATGAGTGGTGGAGATGATGATGATTTAGAGTTCAACAAAGTAGAGCTCAATGACGAGGAAGGTGGAAATGATGAGGAAAGTGGATATAACAATGATGATGAAGATTATTTATGAGAGAGGACTTGGGCTTTTTTTTAATGGAATTTTGAGCTTTTTTTCTTATGGAATTTTTGTAGATGTCACTTGTGACATAATTGTAATAAACTAATTATGGCCTATGGAATGTCAAGTTGTGGATTTTTTTTTCCTCTTATTTATGCCTTTATAAATCATTAGTTCATGTTTCGTGACTTTATGACATTGTGCCTTCATTGTTCATTGTTATTGCTTGATGAGTCATTAGAGTGCATTGAGTTACATATGGTACATAATAAATTTATTTTTATTCCTACCCAGAATTTTTCTTATTTTTTCTAGATAATTATTTTTCCAATATTTATCTTGTCTTTCAAATTTTTGTATTATTTATTTAAAAAAAAATATTTCGACCTACCAGACAAGTGAACCAGTAGACGATAACATGAAAGAAATAGGTGGGCTAGCCATGTGTGGTGCATACCCACTACAACACCTATTAGGACGGGCTAGTTAGTTCAAATAAGGCTCAAAACAGTTAAGGGTAGGACCAAAAGGACATGATCGGAAGTCCTGCGATAAAATATGGGAACTTATAGCCTCACTAAGGGTATAGCCCTTGATAGAGCAGAATGGTAGACCAATTAGTTGGGAAAAGGCTTTGATGATGATGTTGATGATGATGAGACAGGTGAACGAGTCTGGTTCAACCTGTCTATCCAAATCAATACCTTCTCCAATTCGACATGTCAAGTCTTAACAATAACGAGTGAATGAAACATAACATGGAAACAAGGATTTTGCGAGAATATTTTATGAAGGAAACCATAGTTACCGGGAATGGGTGCGACATGAGCTCCAGGATAGGCAGCGGGAGCACGGAGCGAAATAGGCTCGAAGATCAGTGGTTGGGGGAACAAGGTCCGAACATGGTCAGGTAAAGGGATCGAGATCCATGATTTTTAGGGAGCACGTTCCATATCTTCACAGGAGTGAATTCTTTACTAAATGGAAACCATGATAAGTATCAAGGTTCTTGAAGTTCACTTATCAATTGTATTATAACTCGGGAGCAAATTCCTCTAAACAATATTTTTAACTTTTTCAAATTCAAAAGCACATTATCAATATGAACAAAATTCATGTATTGAAATTCTCTTTAACATTTAGTTGTCATAGAAAACCAATATGGTGATGTAATACCTAAGTGCTCGATCCCATGTTAACAATAGAGGGTGATAAAAAGATTTATTTAAGCAAAAATCACTAAAACAAAATTGATCACGTCGGTCACAAAAATTGCACACCTACCTACATTGATCTGCCTAAAACGCACATATCCTCAGGTTTTTGCACCAATCAGTTGTATTGGGCAACGCCCACTTGAATATCAATTGATGATTAAAATAAGAATGTTGTCATATATTGTTTCCAAAAAAGAACTGCCGTGATAGTTAAGTTCTCCTTTGCAAAGTAATTAGAGGATACTCGAGTCTAAGTTAGTGGAATCGTGATTCTGCTTACTCATGAAACCATGATATTTGGCACAAGGATCTGGATCCCATTAGATGGGATCGAGTTCCCTGATTTCTTGAATCGAGATCCCAAATATCAAGGAATCACACGAAATCGAGATCCCATATCTCAGAGCGTGGGATCGAGCTTGCGGAGCATAAGCGAACCCCTCCTTAAAAGATCCCAGTAACTATGAAGGAGCTAAAGGTTGATCCAAATGATCATTTATCGAACCAAGTGGTTTAGATCATGGAGATTATCTATGAAGTCGACTGAAGGTTGATCCGGATAATCATTTATCGATCCAAGTGGTTTAGATCATGGAGATAAAATTCGAACAAAATAGGCATGCTCCCATGGTTGGAGGAACAATAGTAGTAAATCAGTCTTGGAGATCATTAAACCAAAATTTCCGCGTAAGCTTCCACTTCAGATTCTTGAAAGACCTACAAAGAAGAAAATAATTGAATAGGAATGGTGATCCTCCAAAAGAGATACCACTATATACACTTATGAGTGCAGTTGGAGCTATGTAACATGTGTACTAATGTACTAGCAAGTTTACGTACCATGTCTATACATTCTTTCATTGCAATTAATGTCAATCCATGGAGCCATGTCATTTAATGTTGAATCTTGGAGCCTCAGAACAAACTAAGCCATCAGTCATTTCACAAATTTTTCATGGTCTTAACAGCCAGTATTTGTGAATAATCATGGAAGATTCATAGATGACACTAGACTTAAAAAATACATCTATTTAACTTGGTACAACCGTGTAATTTATGCTTCAATAATTAACTAAGCAAAAGATTTTTGCTTGACAGTTTCTTACTAATGAACATCAAGCAATCAACATTATAACCAGAAAAATACTTGAACAAGAAAAACAAATAATATCTTTTTCTAGGCATTAAGGGCCAACAAAAAAAGGTTGTGATAGAAGAATTAAGAAAAAGAACTGTGACTACTGATGACAAAAAATAATCATAAAGAACAAACCCAGTCATATCAGTTGAAGGAACATACTCAAGACATCAAATGTCAGAATCTTGTATATACACTTACCTCCATAAACTGCACAATGAAATCTATAAGCTTATGCTTGTGCATCTCTTCACAGTGATAATTAGTGATAAGAAAGCTAATATCATATCCCTGCAAAGAGGAAGACCATATGAAATCAAAATCTTGAATTATATTGAGAGAGCATCAACACAAGTTGCAGCCAATTTTATTATAATCTTCCAAAAGCCATCGTACATGTCAGTAAAATCAGAATCCAATAATTAATAGGAAAGGACAATAGTGTACAGATTGTTCTCAAGTAAATGCTACACCATAAGCTAACCACTGATTATAGCATAGAAAGTAACTCCAGACAATTTGCTTTATAATTAGAAAAGGGCTCTGACATAATTGCTCTACCGACAATTTCAAGATTCAAGAGATATCCCCTCCCTCCCTGGGTTATGGGCCAGTCTCTTTGATAGGAAGTACCTAACTATTTGTATTCCAATTATGCGGAAAATCTTCCCTGGAGGCACCAAATTTCTGAGTTACAATACAATATGACAACAAGGGTTCTCGACCACAGAGGACATATATGCAAGCACCCATCCCAGACTTCATTAGAAGTTCCAACTAAGACGATTGCCTATTGGTGTTACTCATCTTGAATTTCAATTCTATAACTCAGTGACATAAGGATAAAGCTTGAATTTTGATGAAAACAAAAAAAGTATGAAATTTTGAACTTACAAAGAAGTTGTTTCATAAGAGATATTCAGGAAAGAAAAAACATTTCTACGAGTGCCTAGTCACTAGTTTCCATCCTTTGAAAAACTGGCAATTACTTAAATATTATCATACAAACTATCGAAAAGAGCCACTATATTTCTCATTAATAGTACAGAACAACGTATTTTGAATCAATTGTGTATATTATATAAGGGATATATACAATGAGACCCATTACGTACAACCATCTGATGTGAAATCCGATAGCTTGGGTATGTCACAAAGTTCGATAAAATTTCTTTTGAAGTTTGAGCTTCGTCAATGACATAAATAAAGCCATCCAATTTCACATCCAATGTCAAGATTAATTGGGACCACCTTGTACCAAAGATAAATGGTTTCATTGTATACTTCCATTATATAATGCATTATTACAGAAAAATTGGTAAGCTATACCGTCACAAATAATTTCTAAAACAAGTGCCTAGTACTTATTTTTACCTATTATTCAATATTCAAAAAAATTTAGTATCAAAGTATGCAATGTCAATTCTCTACCCACACATGCAATCTATACGAAACATATCAGTTTTTGTCAGTGTTTTCATAATCACTGGATGGAAAATTAATAAATAAAAAACAAAACACTGATTTTAAGTTCTTAAAGGCTCAGATCTAAAATGAACGACCACCTAATACCTAATTTTCTCTCTCCTTAAAGAAATGCACCTATAGGGTTTCATTTCTATTTTTCTTTGAGATTGTTCATTGGCTTTAAGAGTGTATAAGCAAATTTTGGGGCCAAACAGATCCCCATAGATAGGTCTTTTATGCAGTTTTGGCCCATGACTTGGGGATGTATGCAAGTCTTCCCAAAGTGGTTGTGTGTGACCACATTCTAAAATCTCTCGAATACATGAGCTTCAAAGATGATAGAATATATAACTTGAATGACAAAATATTATAGGCAATAAATTATTCTACAACTTGAATTCTACAATAATGTCTTTTTTTAAGTTATAAATTTATAATCACCTGGACTGGCTTCCTCCTCAGCACTTGAAAAGCCTCAGCCCTCATGGACAAAAATCTAAGAAACTTTTTAGTTAGTATGTTCTCAAGCTCATCTGCCTGCTTTACCTATGAAATAAGAAAAGGTATGTGCTGATAAGGATAAGTGTTAACAAAAGCATAAGAAACTCATCAGATTTATCTACCATCAAATCTTCAATTTAGAACATGACATTAAATAGAAATCAAACTCATTTCATATTTCCCAATAATTGGAATAAGGCTTGGACGATGATGAATGTATGCGTGTGTGTATTTTCTTGAAATTTTTTCATAGATATCCAAATGGTTTATGATACTTAAAATTCATTCTCCTATTTTTCTTAGCATTTTTCTAGTTCTTTAATTGAAAAAAACTAAGAACATGCTGAATCTACTAAGTTTTTACTCAGATCAAGATCATGTTTTTAAGCACTACCTAGTATTCAGAGTTGTATTAACAACGGCTGCCAATGGCCATGTCTGTCAAGGCCAACCAAATTTCAATTTTGCCACATGAGCTCAAAGGAAAGCACCAAAAAAACAATTCATGAATTACATAGCCTGCTTCAGGCACAAGTATGATGGTGGCTACACTCTTACAATAGATTTCTATCAGCATGATTCTATGCCAGCACAAGAATCACCATGCAGCCACATATTAATTAGAATATGCCCATGAATAGAAAGAAACTTGTTAACTACATAGCCATCCATAAAATAAGCCAAAGTAAAATTTTATTCAAAAAAGAAATACATGAAGAAAAATTAGTTTATGAAAATGAATCAGCTAAAAATAATTACCTGATTGAACCAAAAAGCAATAAGTTTACCTTGATACTGATGCGAAGGGAATTTACGGATGTTTCTATTAAGCATTTCTCGGCCTCATTTCGACAGATCAAAACCTGAAGCGGCAAAGAAGGTTTCTAAGAATAGTGTGAAGCGGATATGTAATAGAGACAAAGAAACAAAGATAGATTGTGAACCCACAAGCACAATTTTGGTATAATTTGCTGCAATGATAATTAGTTAAAACTTAAGCATGTTAATAGTAAATGCAAAAATAAAAAACAAAAAAAAAAAAACTCTTCTACTCATCTGTCATAGTTTGAAATGTTGTGGTCTTTTCGCATAATTTGCTACAGTGATACTTCAATCAAACTTAGTTACAAGTATGTAAATGCAAAAAAAACTCTTACTATCGTTCTTGCCTAGTTTGTGATGAAAAGGCATAGTTTTAACATTAGCGAATCCAGCTCAGCCAATGAAGTGAGCCTTACTTAAGTTTTCCCACTATTTAACGTCATCATCATTATGATCATTAGAGACTTCTACCAACTATTTGGGGTCGGCTACACAAATCTTACCCCGTCATTCTGCACTATTAAGGGTCATACCCTCAGCACGGTCATAGGTCCCCATATCTTTTCTCATTACTTCCAACTATATCCTTTTGGGCTTACCCATTGGCCCTTTTTAGCCTTCCATTTGAACCAACTCACACCTCCGAACAAGTGTTGTGCTGGGTATGCGCAGCCCACCTAAGTATATTTTCTCTTATCTTATCGCCTATTAGAGCCACACTTAAGTTCTCCCAAATGTAGTCATTTCAAATTTTATCCCTTCTAGTCTTGCTACTCATCAATCTCAACATCCTCATCTCAACTACACTCATCCTATGGGTATGTTGTTTCTTGACCACCCAAACATTCCTCCCCATAAGCAAAACTAGCCTCACAACTGTCCTATAGAATTTTCCCGTCAATTTCATTGGTAAGCAACAATCACATAAAACTCCAGTTGCACATCTCTACATCCCAATTTATGAAGTCATGGACCATAAATATTTAATAAATTGGTATAGTGTCGATTTGAGTCTAACAGCATGCTAACAAAGAAGGTGTGGGTAATGTCTATGTGGCAATTCATGAGAGAAAGAGAAGAGTGATGGGTCGAGATCTAGTGGGAATACTACAGAGCAAAAGCACCAAATGAATAATGAGAAAAAAGTAGCAAGCTTCTTTTTTATAAAAAGATAAAAGCACACTGTGGTTGCAAAGGCATATAGTTCGTTCTATGTACATGCTTTGGGTCGATTGGGCTATATTATTGATGACATCAATTTTTGGGTCTCAATGTTCTCAAAAGGGATGTTATATTTATGTTCTCTCCATTTCTTTGATATGCATCCTACTATGAGGCTGCACTCAGAGCAAAGTTCAAATACAGGTTTACGGTATGGGCCCAAGGATGGATTAGTACATATTGGAACTTATACAATATATTGACTATGGTTTGCTTATCAACTTCCCATGACTAGCCTTACAGACATTACCCAAAATGACTTGACGAACACAGGTAAACTCCCAAAGGGTTACCAATGGTACGATATTTGATACATAAGCTAGAGTGGAAAATAGTCCTAAAACTAAAAGGCTGAAGGATGACTAAGCAAAAATTAATTCTGGCCAATGCAGTAGATCTTCTGTAGATAGTTCTGCCAAAGATTCCTCATAAGTAGTGAGGTGAGGCTATGTGTTTCCAATCTAGCATGTTTACTCTTAATTGCTGAATCTATTTCGACTTATTCCTTTGTGTGCATGTGTAAATGTTTTTAAGTATATGGTTTAACACATACGTAGGCATGTTACATAATTGTACAAACCTATAAATATTAATGTATTGCATCAACACAAAGTGATGGCTTGCTGGATCCATTTCATTCTCTAAGTTACTACCCATCCCCTTATTCTGCTATAATATATAGTTCTATACAACATAACACCACTTTGGTCCCAAATAAATACATGTATGGTACATGAGTACTGATGCAACCCCGAATACAGCACTCGAGTATCAAGATAAGAGAGAGAAGCTTAAAGTCTACAAGAGGAACCGCAAAAGGACAAAATAATCATTGAATCTGTCCTTTTATATCTTTTATTTATTTTTTGAATTATTTTATTTACTTAGGGGCATCATAAGTACTAATTTCTAGAGACTTATATATCTTTTTATTTACTTAAAGCCTTTTATAATAAATGGTCATGGTTAGATTAGTTGGATGGCCAAGATTAAGTCTTGTTTAGGGTTTTTATATGACATATAGTCAAGCACAAAGAAGCATCTTGTTATAGACTTTGTTCAAAACCCTAGAGCAGCTAGTGCTCCTTTTATTTTTGGCTTTTTAATCTTTCTCTATTTTTGGATCTTCCCTATCCTCTTCTTTACTAAACCCTAGCAGTAAGCTACTAGATCTGCACCAAGTTGCTATCAGAGCTTCACGATCTGTACGTACAGCAGTGTAGCAATGTATGGACAGTACAGTAGCACTTTACAAATGGTATTGTAGTAGTGTCTAAACAGTACCATAGCATCGATTTTTGTGCCCTAGATCAACAATCATGCCTCCACATAGAGGAAGAGGAGGAAAAGTGGCAGCCATTTGCAAGAAAGGATTGCAGCTCTGAGGAGATTGGTCGAAACCATACCTCTACATGGGCACAAACGAAAGCCCCTTCCTATGAGTATGAGATCAAGGCAGATGAGGAATCCATAAATCCCTTCCATGATCAAGCTCCAAGAAGAGGGGTAGCTAATCGTATGGATAAACCTAGTCTCAAGTTTGAGATCCTAGAGTGTTATAGACGTCTATTTGAGGACAACCATAGAGAAACCTTGTTCTCATCAAATGGTTCTCAAGATCAGCTGGGACTACCCGCCTGTCTTTAACAATTGCATAAAGAAGTGGGTGATCATAGCTTTCATGGTGATCTAACCGTAAAAAGGATTAAGAAGAAGATCTTACCATTGGAGTGGATTTTGTGGAACTCGATGACGAACAGGGTGGACATCAAGGAATTGTTCCCAAAATATTGGAGGTATCGGGTTTCTTAATCCCCAAAGAAAGTAGCGAGGAGAATGGTGTTGGCGGAGGTAATGATTATGACGATGTTCTTCGAGTTTTTCTTGAATTTAAAGTATCATGTAAGGTATTTTCTCAAGAACTCTCAGCTAGGGAGTTTAATATAGGAGTTGCCCACCAATGGGTTATTGAAATCATTCTCTCATTATAAAAAAAAAAAAATCATTCTCTATGAGAGAGCTTCTTCTTCTCCGGGCTTGATTTACAGCCATGCTTTTTCTCCTTTATTGTTGATTTATTTGTTTGATAGTTAACAACTTCAAAAAAAGAAATAATGAGAATTTAATTTCCCACCTTTCCTTCCTGAATCAAATTGGTATTAGAACATGGTTCGAAGATGGCTGAGGATTGTGATGGTTGGTCGTGGAGGTCTTAGCCGTAGGAGTGCCAATCTGAACCAATTGCGCAAAGAAATCAATAACTTGATAGTGAACATTACACGGTTGTTGCACAAAACGAGAACCTTAAACAAAGAGGAATCTACAAGGATAAATCCAAATCGTGAGTTTGTATGGAGAACAGCATGAATCAAAGTCTAACTTAGAGTGGAAGCAGTATGACGACATGTCAAGTTCCATAGGTTTCGATGTGTAATGGCATCGATTGGAGGATTATTTTGAAGGAGAACGAGTAGCTTTGTATCTTTAATTGGAATCACCATTCCTTGATGTCGAGGGCGACCCCATCTTTGATAGAAGTTCTATTTCTGATGAAGAAAGATGAAAGGAAAGAAGTTGGACTTGAGGCAGCAAGGACATTTAACTTCCTCATGAACGAAGAGATGGAGAAGCAAGATGTTGATAGAACCCAGAGAAGCTCGAGCCTGTGGAGATTATAGAGGAATAAAGAAATATGTTGAGGAAGGGGCACAAAGCCGCAAGGCTTGAAATGCAACATATAAGGATTTTGAGAATAGGATCAAGAATTATAAGAAATGTATGGAGGTTGATGATGACGATGCATCTTACCTCACTGATAAAAAGATTGATGATGAACATGTATCCCATCGATGGTTGCGTATCTAGAGATGGAAAATTTTGAATATTGTGATAACACCTTCAAGGTTGAAGAAGATCATGGGTTTATGGCAAGATTGACAAGGCCTTCAAGGTTGAAGAAGATCATGGGTTTAAGGCAAGATTCATCCTAGCTCATTTCAAAACTCGAGGGCGAGTGTTCTCCAACCAAGGGACAATGATGGAGATCCAGTTGATTCAAAATTTAAATTTTATTTGTTTTAATTTTATTTTTAGAGATGTGGGTGTTGTTTTATATATTTTAATTAGTGGTTAGTTTATTAGTTGTTAGGCTTAAGATCATTTTCCACTTATGATTTAGTTAGTTCACTTGTTTCCTAGTTTTTAGTTGGGACTTGGGAGGTCCTGTTATGATGGCGCAGATATCCTATGATGGTGGGGCTTGTTACTATTTTTATTAGATCTACTGATTTCTATCATGGGATTTTGAGAGAATATGTTAGTTAGAGAAAGAATGAATACTTCCTAAATTGGTGGATCTAGAGGGAGAGAAATTTGGTGTCTAAAGAGAGGTAGAGGAGGGAGTCACATGAAATCCCAAAAAAAAAAAAAGGGAAAATTTTGTTGGTACATTATTGAGTGTTAGAAGATATTCTTTTCAATTTTGTTCTTTTTATATTTTATCTTATTCTTGATGGGTCGATATTCCTTTTATTTTTAATTTTATTCTTGACGGCTTGTAATAAAAGGGGAATGATGCCCATGAGAACATTATATTATTTGTGACTGAAATGTATTTTATGAAAAGAACAGAGAGCGTCTTCTTCTTTTGACTTGATTTACAGCCATGATTTTTCTCCTTTATTGCCGATTTACTTTTTTGAAGATGAGGAGAAAAGGTAGTTTTAATTTCCCACATTTCCCTCCAATATCAAATATACTTTAGCTAGATTGCAGGACCAGGTCCCCTCCAATGTAAGGCCACAGCTTGAAATTCCAGTGTAAGTGTTATACAAAGAAATAGCATATTTCATCCCAAGATTTGTATCAGCAACCTTGAAAAGATGGACGAAAGGTGAGGAACTTAATTTCCAGGTAAAAGTTTAGTTTTAAGATGAAACAAATCATAAGAATCTCAGCGTCTGAATAGGGGGCCCTGAAGTTAACTGGAACAATAAAAATTGAGGAGACATGGGACTAAATTCGTTTTGGTCAGAGGAACTTATCAAGTGAGCAGTAAGAACTTACCCCAAAAAAAAAAGTAAGCAGTAAGAGAAATTCATAAGCGATTTCTGATTTGCTGGACTTATTGACTCCAAGTTAGCAATGATTTTGACAATTACAGTGATGGCAGTTATTGGCTGTTTCATAGGTTGCATATTCTCAATCATTTGGAGATTTGAGAATATACCTGGCACATAAAAAAGTGGGGAAATAGCGATGGAGCTTGAGGGGGATATAATCAATGACTAGAATAAAGGGTTGCTAAAGCATAATATTCCATAATTTTCATTTTCGCTACATCGCAGATAGAAAGATATATATTAAGATGTCAAGCATTTTTCATTCCCAAACCAGTAAAAGCAAGGGAACATAATTTATCTACATTATTTTGTAAGTTGAAAACCTACAGTTTCTTATTACATCAAGTCCCTTTGCAATTATCCTTGGGGATCATGTTTATTGTACCAATTGTGTGCTTCCAGAAACTGGTTTCCATCTTGTGCTCCCATTTCAGGAAAAAGGAAAAGCATCCCTGTTCAAAACAGAATTCATGACCTATAAACAATTCGCACTGCTTTAAGACAATTTTCTCTCTCATGATGATAAACTTGATAGTGCTTCTTGAGAATAAAACAACAACAACGATAACAACAACTATTCATGAGAAACCTACAACCATCGAATCCAAGGCTTCAAGTAATTTACCATTAAAACTAAGCAAATATCTGCCATTAAGAATAGCAAACAAATAAATTAGATTACAATCAACAAAGGAAGTGGCCAATAAACAGCTAGTCATCATGCACATGAATTCTAAGCTACTTAATTGCAGCTAAATTGCTGAATTCTAGATACACAAAGCAAAGGGTCCTTACGGGATTCAGCAGAAGTTCTGCACTGGTCCTGCAAAATATAAATCCACATCAATGCCATACAGGTTGAACAAAGTTTCTCAAACCGAACCTCCACAAGCAAATAGAAAGTTCGTTGAACAGTATCAACACCTAAATATGGCATAGTCATTAGATTCTTTCCTGTTCTTTGGACGCTAACAACCAGATTTCGAACGGAAAATCTAGAGACACAGACCCAAGAAATTCAATGACAAGATAAGGATACAACATACATAAAGTAGCAGCAAACCAGTTCCAGGTTTTGAAGGAGCTGGAAGATGGTGATAGAACGATCCTAATTTCAGTAAAGGAAGAGCAAGCCAGAGAATGGATGCGATTGGTGCAGAAGAATCTTGGGGCATCTCATGCAAAATTACATGGTTGGAGGAGATTGTGACAGGCTGCAGAATGGATGAACAATGGACAAGGAAAAATTTAATAATTTGAGGGTTCATGTAAGAGATTTAAACTAGGTTAGGGTTATGGAGGCAAACAATAGATATGGTGCTGAATCATGGGAGAAGGCGGTGGAGGAGAATGTTCTGAGGAATAGTAACACTTGCCTTAAGTCCAGGCATGAAGAGCGATTCCGACTTTCAAGGAACACATTTTGATTGGATAAGGGAGCAGATTGGGGGCGAAGTTACAGGCCATGAAGTCAAATAGTTGACATTACCAAACCGAACGTTAAATTAAAAAAAAATAAAAAAATTTGAGGGATGGATTTTTTTTTTCCCCCCAATAGGCATAACTCGTGTAACATTTCAACTAACATCAATACTAAGGTGAAAATAAGATGAGCTAATCAGAGAAAATTTTCCGGAACAGGTTTGCCAAAAAGACTGCATTGCTGCAATGTATGAAGCTGGTATCTGGATAACGGTACAGGTTTCCATCTTTGGAAGCTATTAAATTTTGATCAGGTTGTTGGAGGACGCTTTCAACTGGATGATCATGGCCGTATAAGAGCTCTTGGAAAAAGAGCTAATGAATGAGTTTTGGCAGGAACAGCACTACACTGGGGGGCAACCAAAGCTCTAAAAGCATTTATCTTGGTATGCCAAAATGGCAAAGCGAATATAACAACAATGGGCTGGATTACAGGTGCACCAATCACTAGTATGTTATTCCGCTTCTACAACATCATATTGAAATAGATCATCAATAAGACAACATATCAGAATTTGCATCTTTTCCCAGCACACAAATTTGAAATCCTCTTAGAAAATGAATAATTGATCAAGAGAGAGGCATTGTATGCATTAGTGAATCATGATAAAAAGAAAATATGTGAACAATAACAAAGATATATTAGAAAATAATGCACAACTTCCTATAATTCAATCCAGCTAATATTAGAAAATAATTCACAAACTTACTGCAATTCAACTTCTGGCTTGTTGTGTCTCTCAACTTCTTGACAAGGAAAGTTCTGAAACATGAAATATGCAATAGCGACCATAAAAAGACTGAAAACATGTAACGTGAACAATTACAAACATGTTATTACTGAAGAAATAAAATAGAAATAAGGAAGCAACACTCATTCTTAAAGTCAAAGGATTATATACCAAGTTGAACTTGAGAACAAAAAAGAAAAAAGTCAAAAAGAAAAGAAAAGAGAGAGAGAGGAGAGGGAGGGAATAAATAGGAAATACACAGGGAACAGAAAACTATTAGGAGGATGAGGGGTCAGAGTCCTACAAATAAAGAAAGCACTTCCTCAACTAACCGCTCAACTACTAGACCACATTGGCCACTTTGAGAGCATAACACAAGGACATTTCTATATAGTAGCAAAGGGTAAAATGTCTTCCAAGAAATTCACCAAGAATCACAGATTCATAGTCCTAATCAAAGTCAACTTGGTGGAACTCCGACGTGTTGTTATGTAAGAGGGTTTCACTGGGACAAAATGAAAATTTGCATGTTTTCTATAGCACACAATGAGATTCTGAGGTGATCCAGCTAGGGCGAAACTCAAGTCAACTTGCAGCGCTTCTAAACTATGCTATATGGTGATGTTGAGAACATCCTGGTCGAATAGAAGTAAACAGATCATATAAATAGAGAGACTCTTACGATGGTCAAGGGTCAGTCATTTTGGCGGGTGATGAGTCAAAATCCAAGAAGGAAACAAGAACGTCTGCACAACCTCTCTTAACCTATCTAAACATGCCAAATGGAAACAACTTATTTCACGAATGCATAAAAATAAATATATTGCAATTACTTCAACAAGAAGGAAACATGCATCATGAAATGCTGCTCAGACAAATTAGACTAATGTGTCACTGGCAACCATCTTTGTTCATCAAAGGTCATTTTTTTAATGTACCCAAAAGAATTTATGCTGCCCCAGCTTATCAAAACCTGGAAGGTGGCATAGGCAAAGCCGGCTTCTGCCAGCTGGACTTCAGGCAGTTGATAATAAGTAAATAAAATTAACATTTACAGGGCTGTCCAAGGAGCCACTTAGATAGGTACCCAGGTGGTTCCCAAAGACGCATAGCAATCCAAGACCCAGGCAAGTGACTTCTGCTAACTGACTCAGCCACTACTGCCTAGGGTTAGTCAGAGCAGAATGCCACTGTTCATCTATAGGCCGCCCAGAGGTGTTGCTTATGCAGTCAACATGCATGCCAATTTCCACCAGCAACTTTGTGAAGTCAATGTGTAAGCAACTCATGGATGCGACAAGTAATGTCAAGTGGACTTTCAGGTGCTGGAATTCACCTTTGTACATTTAAAGAGAGACATCTTGATATGAGGTGATAAATGAGAGACAGAATCAATAAATTACTAGTTGCCATATCTTAGGCAAATATCAAAAATATAATGTGGTGCTTTGACAGACAGAGGAAATAGATTATAGAGCACCAATGGTAAATTCAGAAGATGTGACTATTCATACATAAATGCTATGTATTTGATGTACTTGGTCACACATTTAAGATCACATTAATAATGCAATTTTCATCACTAGGCTAGTGAACCATTATTTATAGGAAAGAAAAGTAAACACAATAGAGTATGTGCCCAACATATAGTTAGAGATAGGTATGCTACCCATATTAGATATAAGAAGACACAAATATAAATCAAGCAACCCTTATCCCCGTTACATACCCTTAGAGAAAAACCTATATACAATGGACTTGCTTACTTGAGCAAAAAGATTATATACAACGGAGTGGCTTACTTGAGCAAAAAGATTATCATGCCTTCAAAGATTTGTCCCTTTCTTCTTCTCTCTTTTAGGTTCTATGAATTTGTATACTTGAATGGAGTTGGTATACTATTTTCATTCACCTTGGCATGTTCAATTTCTTTTCTAATAATTTTGCACATCATATTCGCTGTTTTTCTTGAGATCCTTTGTGACTGCTGTGTGGTAACATCTTATATTTGCTAGCACATTTTTTTTGTTGATACTATACGTAGCATTTGACTTTGATTTGAATATGCTTTCCCTTCGCTTTTGAATTTATGAAGCATATGCATTTATATTCGCTTTTGATAACTTGGATCTACAATTTCATCTAAATCCTCCAATAGTGTTGGGTTGGATTTCTCTCATTGTTTAAGGGTATTTTGGTCGAATGAAAAAATGACTTTTATAGGAGCCATCCAAGTCATTGGAGAGAGACAAAAGTAGATTGCGAGTTAGGGGAACTTTTGTAGGTGGAATGACAAGAGCTTTGGGAAAAGAGAGATTGAGTGTTTTAGCTGGAAAACCCTAGCTTTATTGTGCCTTTGTATTGAATCAGATTTGTTAGTGTTCCTTCACAGCAATGGAGTTAGTCGATAGTATCAAAGAAATGAGTCAATTGATGGTACTTTGTGGGTTTGAAGGTGGCCATCAAGGAGTATTGCATAAAGGTCAGCCTCAATAAAGGGTCTTCTGGGTGGAAGATTCCATAGTTAGGGAGAAGGTGCGGTTGTTAGTGTTATAGGTGTTGTTTGTCACTAGGTTGCGAATGGCCAAGCGAAGTGTCATTCGACAGGGCCTGGTTAAGGTGGGCAGGTATTGGGGTTGGTTAGGTTAGGGCATGCATTATATCAGTGAAGGGGGAAGAGAAGGTCAGGTTAATGAGGTGGATCTAATTATGGTATCATGGAGGAAGAAGGAAGGGGAATAATAGGAGTATTAACAGCTTGTATAATCATATTCTAAGTGCTTTTAATGCAGTTGCAGAAAGGCAGGGTTGGTTGGAGTGGATGAAACGAATGGGGAAAGAAGAGACGGGCCCCAAGAAGAGGACTGCCCTTTCTCCAAGGAAAGTTGAGCAAGGGGTCTGGGTTGGTGGTATCCAGATCAGGTAGTCATGGAGTTTCCGTTCCAAAAGGGTAGATAAAAACAAGGAAGCTTGGAGAGGACTTTAGCCATCAATACTCTCAAAAAAAAGCACAGTGACCCGAGTCATTTCCAACTATTGATATCCTTCACTTAAAGTTGTGTTTTTGGGGGTGAAAAAGGGTGAGGAATGTTCTTGAAGGCAACAGTTCCAAGATGTAATAAACCAAAAATAAGGATGATCATTAGGCAAAAATTGAATAACCCTAAAACTTAAACACCACTGTTATGCAACAATACAAGAATCATCACACTAGGTTTAGAAGCCTTCATTCTTGGAAATTTTGTGAATTGGTGTTTAGAAAAAGGAATTGAGCTCCGTATATTCCACTGAAAATCCTAGTCAGATGGCCAATTCGAAGTTGGACCCTCCGATTCAGGGTAATCCAGCTCAATTGACCCAAAAAAAAAAAAAAAGGCAAAATAATTTAATGACAGTTTGCAAAAAAATGCATCATTATAATATGTAACCATTGAAAAGAAAATTTTTACAAAAAAAGAAGAAAATGTTACAAAAACTCGAAATTTACAAAAGGTTGCAAATAAAAAATAAAATTATTTTAAAGAGCTTTAAATTGAACAAAACTAGCGTTATTCCCAGTTACAACCTAGAATGCAGTCTTGACAATGCTATCAAACTTGATTCCTGCTTCTTCCTAGAAACATCAAGGGAGAGAAACATAAATTGGAGTACAAGAAGAATACTCAGTAATAGCCAAATACCCAGGATTTGAATCTCTCTCACAACTCACAAGCTTTCCGAGCCCTAGCCTTTCAAGAGTAGTACAGTATAATAAATGAGGGATAAAAGAAGTCTCTTTTCACAGCAGGGCTCCTTCCCATGGTGAGCCTCCATCCTCTCCTTATTCTATTGATTCATCTTTTACAATTTCAGAAGAATTCTAATGAAAAGAGGAAGTAAAAGTTAGGGTTTTGAATGGGAAGAAAATTGTGTTGGTCTTTTACAGGGTTATACAATTGAAGTATGGTAGGAGATTAGGGTTCGGATTAGGAGGAGGTTTTGCAGCTCCTAGAGTGAGACTGAGCTTAGTGGGTTAGAAATTATGTATTGGAGAAAACTGATAAAAAGGTAGAATTGGGGGATCCAACAATGGTTTACAGGGAAATTGGGTGAGTTTCAAAATATAGACTGATTCTTGTTTTCTAGCAAAAAATCCCCACTCTCACTACAAAGAATGGGACAATTTTCGGAAAAAAAGGGTGAGTCACAAGTTCAGGGATGTCCGCAATTGGTGAATGGTTGGATTGGATGATTCAGATCAAACTCAACAATTCCTCAATCACTTTGTGAACCATTTGAATTGTTTATTAACGGGTAGAAAGGCTAAGGAACCACACAAACATAAAGATTCAAATTTGACGATGCCTCGTGACACTCAATCACTAAAGCTTATGCAATCTTCTAATGCTTGGCCATCAACATAATCAATTTAATGACAAAAATGATTAGCAACATAATTTCAAGTTACACTTAACAAGAATAATAAAAATGATATCTCCCAGTTACACTTAACAAGAATAATAAAAGTGTGCCCTTAAGAAAAGTACAAGATCCGAAAAACTCATAAAATTTTACAGATTTCCACAATCCTTGAGATTACAAGGCTAAGAATAAGATCCAAACCATCAAACAACAGATGCACCTACCTGGAGACACATTGCAGCTTCCAATGTGTTCCTTATGCATGTCAAATAAGACCTCAGTGTATTTGCCTGAAAATTTTCCACGATACATCAGTAAACCACGCCAAACTATGGCTTTCGTACATATCGACTGAGATTATCATAGCTGGGGTTTTCAATTTGTCTTCCATGTGTAAATTGCAGAAAAAATTCAATTTGTCTTCCATGCGTAAATTGCACAAAAGCTACGGTAGAGAGAGATTGACATCGAGAATGACTACGATCTAAGGACGAATAATTGTGAATCATAAGAGTAAACTGAATCCATAAATCACTGGAATGAATGAGATTTTGAAACTAATGCCAAAGCAGAGTGCACATCAATATTAAACATATGAGTGAAAGAACAGTTAAAAGACGTCCAGGCATTGTGCAGAACAAAGCAAAGAATGGAAAGACTGTGACAGTTGATTCATTCAAAGGAAAATAGTCGTAAACAGTTGATTCGATATGAAAGTGTGAGTCGTTGATTACTTGCCATGAATGATGAGAGTTGCAGACCAAGCTTCAAACATCAGAACTCAGAACCTCCCCCGCTATATGCCCTCCAGTTGGTATTGGGACGGAGTATATGCGGTACGCATCCTGTGTATGGTAATGCTATATGTGGTCAGAGGATCTACCGGTGGTTCTCCATATGAACCGTGAAGATAAAGGGCCGAGGACAAGTGCTGCACCTTTGAGAATCATAGGGTTGTGTACCGCACCTAGTGACAGCATGCGTATGACTTACCTCCACATTTTCATTTTAGTTATTCAAGCACAACGCGACGCATCAGGGGGTTGTGTACCGCACCTGGTGACAACATTATTGAGGCACAACGCGACTTTTTTTTTAACAAAATTAGAATGGACCATTTTTAAAAAAAAAAAACTTAAGTTGCGATTGGATATTGAAATTCTCGGACCTCTTTTTTTTTTTTTTTTGAGAGAAAGTTCAAAGATATTATTAACCTAGAACGAGATTACAGAATCCAAAATAATGGCTTCAGATAAGGTAGAACCTCTTTTGGCCAAGGAATCAGCTAGCACATTAGCCTCCTTATGCGCATGAACAAAAGAGACAGAAAAGGCGGAAACGAAATCCAAAATCTGAAATAACAAAGATTTCAACTCCCAAGGAAGTTTCTGATCCCCTTTGCACCATTTCACAACATTGAGGGCATCCCTTTCAATAATGGAAGAAGTCCCCAGATTCTTCTCCACAAGGGAACGACGGCCAAAGAGAAGAGCAAAGATCTCTGCATAATTTGCAGTCTGCACCCCAAGTGGCCCTGCATAGGAGAAGATCACATTACCCATCCAATCTCGAAGAAGCCCTCCAAAACCAGTAAAACCCGGGTTACCCAATAAGCTATCATCAAAGTTGAGCTTATAAACCCCCAAAGGTGGGACCAGCTATCTGTTTTTGGGCCTACACTTTTGGAAACCCAAATGGAAAAGGTTAAAAAGATTACATCTCACATCCACTTCAGAAATATTCTGTCCACAACTCGTAACAGAAAGGTACAACCAGATGGAATGCAAGATTTTCTCCAAAACTTTTCCAACCGGCAAAGAGATACCTTCAAACATTCTTCTATTTCTCTCTCTCCAGATCTCCTACAGAATGACACCTCTAGAGATTTGTCATACAACACTCCCAGTCCTTGGTAAAGTAACTGAAAGATTATGAAGAATCCCAATCATCGATGGTGGCATTTCCAATGCAACCCCAAGCTTGTCAAAATACCACCTCCAAATGCGACTGGCAAACGGACAATAGAGAAAGAGATGATCACCAGTCTCGCCTCTTCCTTGCACATTAGACATATATTCGGTAAAAAAATTTCTCTCTTAATCAAATTATCAACTGTGAGAACTCTGTTTTGAACCACTAACCAAAAAAAACCTTGCAATTTGAGAGGTTGGGCTCATTTCCACAATATAGATATTTCAGGTATAGACCATCGCACCCTATCATAGTAAAATAAATGACACATAGATTTAACTGAATAAATCCCATTTTTGTCAATCTCCCAAACTACCTCATCAGAAGCATTATGCGGGATATAAACATCTGTCAATAGTCTATGAAGATCAACAAACTGAGATAAAACCAAATTAGAAACATCTGTCAACTCTCCGACTGTTTTTTTTTTTTCAAAACTTAAGTTTCGGTCTGAGGTTTAAATCCTCATACCATCCAAGGACCGTTTTTTTAAAAAAAAAACTTAAAGTTGCGGTCTCGGGATGTCATCCCCAGACCTCTTTTGTTTTTTTAAAACTTAAAGTTGCAGTCAGAAGATGGCACTCTCGAACCGTTTCTTTTTTTTTAAACTTAAGTTTCAATCAAAGATTGAAATCCTTGGAGCACAACTTAAGTTTTGGAAAAAAAAAAAAAGAGCAATCTAACAATGCCATCCTCGACCTCAACTTAAGTTAAAAAAAAAAAAGGGCCAGAGGATGGAGAGGTAATTTTGTAAAAACAAAAAAAGTCATGTTCACCGACCTTGATTGTAATTTTCAGGTATAAAGGAAGCAACTCATATTTTCCTAACTTACTAAGGTCCGTACATAAATACCTCTTTTTATTTTCCACCTTTACCTATGTGACTATCTCGACGCCTCGACCCAAACTTTTCACATGAGTATGGACTTGGCGACAGGCTAGGCCTAGCGCCTACTCAAGGTTGCCCGTAGCTAGCCTTGTCCTAAACCTAGTCTTGGTCCATATACGGCTGGCTCGAGCCTAGTCTGGGATGGGCCTAATAGATTCAAAGGAGAAAGAAAAAATAGAAAAAAGGAAAAGAAATAGAAAAATTAGGTAAGGACGCCCTTGAAGTAGCCCTTACCTAGGCCCGGGCCTGACGACGAACCATGGTGGGCTTGCCAAATATGACGCAAAACCTAGATTTTAGTGTAAACATTGTTGGGCCGATCTAGAACATCCTACCCATTACCAACCCTAATGGGCGCGTAGTTCGCTTCGTCACAAACTCCAAATTCGCCTTTAGTCAAATGTAAAATTTATATTTGGCATCAATTTGGATAATAGTTTTATAAGAAGTAGATTATCTTATCTAAAATCATCTATAATATTATTTTAGTAAAATGGTTTGATAGGGCTGCAGTGTTATGAAAATAAGTAAAACCTCAGCTCATAACTCATCGAAAGTTGCAATTCACGTGTTGGAAAACCTTGAAATTCACCATCTTGGCTTGAGCATTATGGTTGTGAAAATAAATTAGAATTTTCAAAATTAAAAATAGTGTATATTGCAATAAATCATCTAAACGGAACATTTCACCCTAAAAAGAAGTGTTCACAAATCCGCAAGATCTATACTATTTTTTGACATTCAAATTTTATTGTTGGAGTTGAAAATTGATTTTAAAGCCATCATGGAGATTTTCGATGCCGAAAGTGATTTTGAGATGAGAAATGGAGGTGAGGCTTTATTTTGTTTTCATAAAGCCTAGGCCTTATATAAACTTCATCCATTATTTTATGGGTGTGGTTTGCATGAAATCTTGAAAATAGACAATCCACATAATATGTTGCAAGATTCAATATTTTTTGGGGTTCGATCTCTTTCTTTTCTTTTTTTTTTCATTTCTATATATCTTGATGTCATGATGATCAATTAGAGGGTTTTCCAACAACAAAACAGCCTTTATGATAGATTTTACAGGTGCACTTTAATTCTACAGTTTCAATATTATAAGGCCCGTAGGATAAAACCTTTTTCTCTTGAAATGCCCCTGATTAGCGCCCTTGTATATTGATTTCATCTAGAGAGCTTGCGACGACATAAGGCCAACCTTAGATAACGTTATTAGGAGCGAGGGGGTGCCTCTTTTATGTGGACCGCTGACTGAGGGTCGATCGATATGGGATGAGGTAGAGGCTTTGTTGGGTTAGGCTTCTCCTAATGAGCGAGGCGCAAAAGAGGGCGCATATCAAACACTTAGTCACTTCATCTTCAATCTTCATCCTCATCGAATGCCATGACATTACCCATGCACCATATAGACATAATAAATATGATCATGATTAGCCAATGACAACATCAATTTGCATAACAATAAAATATGGAATAAAAGCATACGCTACAATGTTATAAGAATAAACACATTTTTCATATAACAAACTCAAATCCTCCAATCACGAATCATTTAATAACTGTAAATACATTAAATAAGAATGCAAACATGCATAGGGGAAGTTATAGGTCGACCTCCTTGTATCTAGATCACAAGCAATCCTTTTAAGGACTTAATTTTATCTTATTATCTAAAGCACGGGTGATAATAATAATTCAAGGAGATCAATCTAATAAAAGAAGCATATAATCATCTAATTCACTTATTTAGAATCAAATCATGAGAGAGATAGGTATCAAAATAGTCCTTCAAAGATTGAGAGAGATATCACACAACACAAATATGATATGGTGAAACTACAGTATGTAGTCCAAGGAGGATCACACAAAGTTTTCAATGGGCAAAAGTGAGGTTAAGAAAATTATCTCATATGCTCAATGTGATGTTTTGAACATCTAATCGGACATATAATCTCAGTAAAAATTCAAGAAAATTCGAATCAAGAAAATTTGAATCAAAGAAATCAAGTTGGAACTAATCTAGATCTTGGAGTAATCAAACTAGTCTATCCATACTGTATATGAACTACACTATTGTTTTGGGCTAAAATCAATTCTTTATAGTATTTTATGAAGTTTTTTTCTATTTTAAACTTATTGTTTTAGTACAATCGAAAAATTTCAAAGTGGTAACTCCAATCTCTTGGTCTTATCCAATTTGTGGGCTAGAATCAATTCTTGATAGTCTTTTATGAAGATTTTGTCTATTTAAAACTTCTTATTTTAATACAACCTAAAAATTTTAAAGTGGTATCTCTAGTCCCTTCGTCTTATAACACCAACATACCGATGCCAAGTTACGATTTGAACCAAAGAAATTAAAGTTGTTGAAATGACAAATAAAAGAAAAAATTATGGAAATCTGGGATCGGGTTACCTTAGTCTTCAGATTTTTTGGAAAAGTGGTGAGATTTCCGCTCTCACAGGGTATTTGAAGATGATTTTTTAGAAACAAGGGTGGTCACGCAGTTTAAGCTCATACAACCAGGGAGCCGACTAAGCAGTTTAATGTCATGCAACGATGGACGCAACCAAGCAGTTTAGTGCTATGAGACGATGGACATGTATGGAATAGCTACCCCAAATAGGTATCATCAAAATCCTACTGGGGAGGTTGATTATTGATCTTAGGCCAATAATTTTGTTGATCATGGGGTTCGACATTCGTCCAAATCGTATCTAGGTATTTGGATGGTTTTAAATTTCTGGTGCCATTGCCAGTGGCACCGGAGCGATTCTGACCGCCTTTCAAACAGAGAGGGGTATTTTGGTCATTTGATGATGTTGAATCCAAGAAGATCGTCATTCATGCAAAAATATTTTATTTATAGATTAATGGGGTGGTACCTTGATTTCTTGTGCATTGTTTAGGAAATGACCTGTTGCAATCTCTGACGCTGTTGGGGTGTCTATTGTTGTTTGGGCCATGCTTCCCTTGATGAACTCTTCGTTTTTTCCTCTCTTATGGGAATGGTAATTGAGAAGCTTGTGGGGCTTGGTACCTCGGGCGTAGAGTCCCTTCCTAATGAGATGGCCTGGTTGGCTGGCCTTGCTGAGGAAATCCTGGACTTGGAGGAACAGTCATTAGAAGGGGCGAGGATGGTCGAATGAGAGAACAACCTGCAAAAGGTGCAAGAGGGTTTTATTAAGAGAGACGCCTAGATGACTTCTCCTTTTTACAAATCAAATGTCATAAGGGTTCCATGCATGAGGATTAGGGCCAAAGCCAAGGGGGCACAACGTGAGGAGAATCCTGACATTAAGGCTTGAAAGGCTATATTGCTAACACGGTATTTGTTTAAAAACCCTCTCTCTCTCGATTTTGAAATATTTCCCCCATAAACGTTTTCGGAAAGAAATGAGTCAAAACGGCCCCAATGATGATGATTAGAAAGCCCATATGTTCGTCCAATCCATAAGATAAAGACTACAACAAGTGAGTACTACACTCCCCTTAGCTCCCTATCAAAGTAACAAAACAAAAAGAAAAACACCCAATTCTTAAACTATCACAACCCTTAAATCCTGGGAACACACTTGAGACATGAGGTCATATGTGGCTCAGTGAGGATTTTTCCACCATTCTCATCTGAGTTATTCCGCCCAGTTATTTAAACTCGGAGTTCCTCGGAATACTGGTACACTAGCCTTCAACCTACAAACGGAGGGCTATTATCTATGACTACCCCGAACGATGGTTACCTAACGGTCAGGTCCCTTGTGTGACCAACAGGCACCATGGCTTTACGAGGCCAAGCTTCCGAGGAACTACGGTGTTTCAATTCCTCACCACCCAATTCTATATCATGTATCTATGTCACCTAGTGTCCCACTGCTTATGTGTGACACAAGCGTCAAAGAAGGACAACTGGAGACACCCCGAACTCGAATGATAAAACTACGGAGGACCAAAATGCTATGAGCAAAGTGCCCCCGATACTTGAACCACTCACACTCACCCTAACCTATCTGTAAACTGGCTCCCATAACGCCCATAAGGCACTTAGGCACACTTGAAATGCAAGAGAAGTCAGATCAGGACTCAAGATTGTCAAGTTGAGAGCGATTCAAATGCACAGAGTCCTGGTGCCACTCCCAATGCAATTGAGGGCCTCCCAGTAGTGACAAAAAAACGACATGAAGATTGGATGTATAAGTATTTCCAAGTGGGGCCGGCGCCCAGGTTAAGGACAACCCAAACTGACAACGGCTTGGGGAAGTGACCTAATGTTGTGAAATGATGCGTATCAATATGAACCGACAGATGTTAGTTGTTTTTTAGTCTTTCTGTAGATTTTTATTTCCTTTTATTTCTAAAAGTTTCTTTAATGAAATCTCCCCTGCTTTCTCCTTTGAACTCTAAGGCTAAGGTGCATGGGAAGCCGGTCTGTCAGTGGTCCGAGCGGGATATGGCCTTGTGCCCCAATTCTTGCCCAGGACGGGACCCTTTCTCTACTAACTCTTCGACATATTTGCACCCGAAACCAAGGCGGGGAACCGAGTTCCCCACCTACATTTTAGACTATAGATACAAGGTCAAAGCCCTCAACAACAAGGGTTTTTATAAGATTTGGCTATCTGCCATAGTCGCAGGTGCTTTGATGCTACGCATCTTCTCTCTCGAGGCTCGTTGACTACATGTCAAAGCACTCTACTAAGATTGGGCAGCGACAAAATGGGGAAGGGGAGGCCTTTTTATCCGTTTACTCAGAGTTGCCATAGAGTCACATAATGAGTTACTAAGTGATTGTTACTAAATATATGGAGGGAATTCCCTTCGTCTAGGACTGCCCATATTATACACGATCGAGAATATTCTCCCCCTTGCCCGCCCCCCCCCCTCCCCCCTCCCCCCTCCCCCTCCCCCTCCCTCGACATTTTCTTTTATAAGCCCAGGATATTAAAGCACTTGTTTAAGCGCCGAGCCTAGCATATTCTGCAGGCTGGACTAGCGAACCGAGCCTAGTATCGTAGACAATAGGATCGCTAGCTAGCAAGAGAAAGGGCTGTAGCTACGTTGAGGACTCTAGTTCTAACTGATGGGTCGTTTGAATCCTAGGGTATCCAAAATCATGTTTTGTATACCCAAGGTATTGTTTTTGTGGACACATAATCATGTTTTATGTAAGCAAAAAAAGAGGGCCTAAACATGGTTACATAAAATCAAGAAAAAAATTGGATTATCGGAAACATGGACTTTGTGTAAGCATGAGAGAGAGAATACAATATGTTACAACTGATGATAATACTATTTTTCACCCACACTGGAGCTGCCTACTTTATTAAATACAATTAATTTCGTCAAAACATCCCAACAAATTAGATAGAGTAACTACCTTAAATTTTAAGTTTTAGAGAGAGAAATTATATTAAAATTTTAGAGAGAAACTATACCAAATTTTAGAGAGAAACTATACCAAATTTTAGAGAGAGAAACTACTAAAAATAAATAGTCTTACAATTTTTAGAGAGAAAATATTTCAAATTTCAAGTTTTAGAGGGAGAAAATATCTTAAAATTTTAGAGAGAGAAATTATATTATATTTTAAGGTTTAGATAGAGAAAGTATGTTAAAATTTTAGAGAAAGAAATTACTTGAAAAATTTTAGAGAAAGAAACTATCTCAAAAATTTTAGAGAGAGAAAAACTATCTCAAATTTTTTAAGTTTTAGATAAAGAAAGTATCATCAAATTTTAGAAATATATATAATTTTAGAGAGCAAAATTACTCAAAATTTTTTTAGAGAGAGAACTATCTCAAAATTTTTAGAGAGACAAACCATCTCAAATTTGAAGTTTTAGAGAGAAAAATTATTTTAAAATTTTATAGAGAAAAATTATATAAAATTTTAGAGAGAGAAATTGACCGAAAACTTGTAAAGAGAGAAACTATATCAAATTCAAGGTTTAGGTAGGAAAAATATCTTAAAATTTTAGATAGTGAAACTATATCAAATTTTAGAGATGGAAACTATTTGAAATTTTTTATGAGAAACTATCTTACAATTTTTAGAGAGATAAACTATCTCAAAATTTTAAGTTTTACACAGAGAAAGTAAGTTAAAATTTTAGGGAGAAAAACTATATTAAATTTTAGAGAAAAAAATTACTTAAAACGTTTTAGAGAGAGAAACTATCTCAAAATTTCAAGAAAGAAAAACTAATTAAAAAATTTAGAAAAGAGAAATCTTATGTTTCAAGTTTTAGTGGAAAAAAATATCTTAAAATTTTGAAGAGAGAAACTAGTTAAATTTAGAGAGAGAAACTTTTTTAAAATTATTAGAGAGAAAAATTATTTCTAAGTTTTAGACAGAGAGAGTATCTCAAAATTTTAGACACAAATTATATCAAATTTAAGAGAGAAAAATTACCTAATATTTTTAAAAAAACTAACTAAAAGTTATGAGGGAAAAATCAAATTAAATTTTAAGTTTTACATAAAGAAACTATATCAAAATCAAATTAAATTTTAAGTTTTACAGAAACAAACTATATCAAACTTTACAGAAGCTATGGGATTTTTTTAGAGAGGGAAACGATCTCAAAACTTTTACACAGATAAATATTCTATCACGAAATTTCTAAGTTTAATGTGTTCTCTTTGTGTACCAGTTTCCAATTGTGTATACTGAACATGACAAAAAGCATGATTAAGTAAGCTTTTCTTAAAGACGTTCAGGTTTGTTAACGCGCGCTGTTTAAATCACGCGGGTACGATCTGGTGAGTTTTCCAGGCAAGTTGAAGCCGCTTTCGCACTTGTTCAATAGAGCCCTCCCTCCCTCCCTCCCTGTCTCCATATCCAGATCCGTCCTTTCTTTCTCACTGCAAAAGAACTTTCTGTCTGCATTTTACCTTACGCTGAAAAAAGGATTGACGCCCTCTCCTTTGGGATCCGGAAAGCCCTTTCTTTCTAGAGTTTCATCACTGAGGTGAGCTCTGATTGGGAAGTTTATTTTATGCAATAATGTTACAATCAGTTGATATTGCTGCATGAAAAATATAAGAAAATCACTTGATGATGTGGAAATGAGAGAAACTAGTCGATTGGCTTCAAACTAGCATTTTCTTCGAAATCATAAACTTTCCTCCAACGTTCTAGTTCATCTTCATATTGGTTTATTTTATACTTGTTAGAAATGTAATTGATTAAAGAAACATCAGCGATGAGGCTTCCTATTGGAGCTCCATTTTGGTATATAAAATGATGGATTCAGGAGGTGATTTGTGGCCCATGCTGGTCTTTTGACCACATTGTTTTATGCTTCTGATTAGGCATTTCGATACTGTAGTATTGATTTTCTTGGACAATGGAAGAACCTTCTAGTATGAATTTCTTAATGATTTAATTATCTATTCTAGGATAAAAAATGTGTTGTCGTTTGATAATGGGGAAGAGACTACAAGGAGTGCTGCAGCATGCGGATGCAATTCTGAAAAATCAGGACGAGCTTTCATTTCTCTCTTTCTAGAAATTTCAAGTGCTGCAACGATCTGCACCTGTTAATTTTTCTCAATTGCTCAACAAATGCGCGAACCGGTATCCTGTTCCATGTGATTATTCATTTTTATAGTTATCATCAATGACAAGCAAGGATTCAGAAAATTTTGAAACTATTTCTTTAGGGAGATAATCCTTAGAAATAAAATCATAAAAGAAGTAGGTACAACTCAATTTGAAAGCCATGGAACTGAGATCATACAAATTAATTCTTGAGACTTGCTGACTCGAGTAGCCTTATCTCCCTAGAAATACAATAATAAAAGAAGTAGGTACAACTCAATTTGAAAGCCATGGAACTGAGATCATACAAATTAATTCTTGAAGCTTGCTGACTCAAGTAGTCAGGCATTAAGTATTTGTCGCTCTAACAAAACTAGTGAGAGAAAGTGCTAAGTTCCTTGTTCGATTGTATCAGCCAATATATGTGCTTATCATCCGATGATAAACATAATTTCTAATGTTTGCTTATGACATCATCAATAGTGCTTAAACTCACCTTTCCATATTGATCAATGTGCTTTAAAATGGAATATGGTTACCAAGTTATGAAACTGAAAATATTCCCAAGTATGAGAGAGAAACATGGAATCGTGAAGCATGTCCATCAGTATTTTGTCAAAATTCATCATGTGTTCATCGAACATTCCGCACATGTTAATCCCATTAGAATAAAATCCATGTAGTATATATATGGCAACAATATACCGTCCATGGATTGCTATTGCCCTTTCAGCAATGGTAGGCATTTCAAAATTTCAATGTTTAACTTGAAGAATGTACCATCTAGAAATGATATTTTTTGAGCCTAGATAGGTATAATATGCTTGATTATTTATCATGTCTTCAACAGTTTTGTTTAAGAAATTGCCTTATTTTGAGGTCTGTGATAGTTCTTCATAGCAAAAGTCCAAATTGTTTGAGTGGTAGCAGGTCATTTCAATGGATATAGACCCAATATATATATGATACTCTTGATCACATTGAAGCTCAAAGTTAATTGTCTATGTTTGCTTGTCATTTGTGTGTCTGTTTATATACATCGGCATGCCTGCTCATTCATGGTTACAGGGCCTATAGTTATTCATACTCACTTCTGGCATGTGGTCCCTTTGTTGTCATCATTTTATAACTAATCCGTTTTGAAAGCCTTGTTTTGTGTCCTTTCAACCCCATTTATAATTGTGCATGAGTATCTCTATTTATTTGAATCTTCTCATATACCTTTTCTAACTTGTGGCATATTATTTCTCTTCATATGCATATTAGTTTGCTATCTCTTTTATAGTCCTAGAACCTAGACTAAACTTTAAACCCTAGACTATGGACCAAAAACCGCCTAAGGCCTAATTCTAGCTCCTAGACCCTAGGTCACCCTATGCTATATATCTAAAATGCAGACCATAACCTTAGACCCTAGAAGCTAGATCATAACCCTAAATCAAGAGCCTTACTCTAGATGTTACACTCTAAATCCTAACCTACACCCTAAAACTTAAACTCTAACCCTAACCCCAGACTCTCACTCTTTTTATCTATGTATTATGTGTGTGTGTTT